ATTTTCTGCACTTCCTCAGAAGTTCAGAGAGAAATGCACTGTAACCAGCATGTACAACATTTGCTGCCTTCCTTCCTTAAATAAGGGCAATAATTGCCACCTGTTTTTCAAAGAATGAATGACCTCACTAATAGAACTCCACACTATTATTTTGAACATGCCCTTTTCAATTAGTGATTCAATTACACAGAATCAGCAGCATGCATGTCATGACTGTTGGGTTTGTTGGATTTCTATTACTCTACTACACCTGCTAGTAAATTATTTGCCATGTAGAAATATTATTTCTACCAAAAAACAGTGATTGATCAGGTTAGTGATCTCTGGCTGCAATTATTTTGAACACAACGGTATATAGGTGTCACAGTATTTTGAGACCTAGATCTTTGTCTTCATTTGTGTGCCCAAGAATTGAAAATGGGGGATAATAAAAAATTGTCAGCTGTAATCTTATTATTTTGCACAGATCTGATTTGATATCAGCTGGCCTACCGTTTTTGTGTTAGGGCTATTATGTTTTGTTTTTGTGTGTTCAGTGTTTGTTGAATAAAGTACATTATATAAAAATTCAGATTCTAATATCCATTGCAGCATAGAAAACAGAGTAGGTTTTTCTTTCTGTTACATGAAAACACCCAGCACAACTGCACTGAAGCAATTTATCATGTTTGCAGTTTTATTTTTTGTTCTTTTGATTAGGTCTGGTTATATGAAAGTCAGTTTTTTAGAGTTTTATATTTTGCCCCACTTGCTGATATCCTAAAGAAAATCCATCAACTGTCTTAGTTCATTCAATAATTTTTCACATTTTAATCCTTACTAAATATTTTTTATGGAGTTTCTTTGAGCAAGGCCCTGTTTCCATGGTGTGACTACCAGCTTTAGTAACAAATTTTAAATAAAGCACATCAAAAACAGTTTTGGCACCATATGTCCCAAAGTAAAAGTTATGTTGTTTTCCAGTGCAGAGATCTTGAAACAATTTCAGAAATAAATCGCACAGGCGCCTCTAAATATTTCCACATTGGTATGTCTTGCAAAGAACATGTGAACTGTTAGCTGTTAATGTAGTGCAGTACATGGCGTCTTATGGACTGACAGTGGCTTGTTTGTATTTGAAAGTCAGCACACTGTCTTTTCCTCCAGGGATATGAATTTGAGGTGATGCAAATTAGAGCTAGTGCTCGGTTTACAGAAATGGTTAACTTGAAATCAGGAATTCCTGAAATCGGGTCATGTATGCCCAACTTATAGGGTGGGGTTGCATACATGATAGCCTTTTGAATAATTGCAGTGTCTATTTATGCTTTGTTTGATACATGACATACACGTTTTTAGCTCTGATTTCAGTTCTAGTATGCGTTTTTCGTGGAACAGGTCTGTTCATTGTCATAGGTAATTTTTATATCGGTGAATAAAATGATATACAATTATGCAGCACTGTTTGTCCAGTATAAATATGAACTTGCTATGCCATAAAATTTTCACAGAACATTTTATTTAAAATTAATAAAAAAAAGAAATAAAAAATCCACACAATTATAAAGACATGCATTCATATGAAATGCGTAGTGAAAGTTCATAAATCGTGCGTAAACAGTCCCAATATCAAAGTGCAATATCATGTGTCCTCTTGTGAATAAATAAATCATCACAAGTAATCAGTGCTCTGTGACCTCCACCTTTTAGACAGACTCATCAAATATACATGTCTTCCCTTTCACAGATCGACATGACAAGAATAAGATCAACAATACATTTTCCTGGCAGGCTATATCAAAAAAGCTTGAAATGGAGTGGCAGCATAGAGACCCAATACTGTAAACAATGGTAAAGCATGCCACATCCCATAACTGAAATATTAATTGAATGAATAGAGAAAAACTATGGACTTTATAGGCACCCCAAGGATCACAATGATAATATTTAAAAAAATACACATTTTATTAGGTACGAAACATGATAACCAGTTATATAGCGTCACATGGAAGGAAGAACTCCCTCTTTATGTGATGCGTGATCAATTCTTGCAGTGGATATCCATGGTGATAGTCAATCAGGGGGTTCCATCATCCTTATACTTGTGCTTTATATGTTTCCTTTCCCGATTCTTCAGGAGCATATGAAGATCAAAAAACACTCCTTATCTAAATGTAAACATGAGAGAATATACGATATACATTTATAAGTACATGTGATAGTGAAACTGGCTTATTATAATACTGTACTCACTAAAAATTAGATTGAATAAAAGGTATCCCAACTATAAAACTATCCTTACGTGGGCATGGAGGTATGCAGTGCCTTTCTAGTTTGTAGTCTTGTACTTTGTAACATACGTTCCACTTTAATTGCATGTATGTGTGTAACATACGTTCCATTTTAAGTGTGTGTATGTATATGTTGGTGTATATATATATATATATGTGTGTGTGTGTGTGTGTGTATGTATGTATGTGTATATGTGTGTGTGTGTGTGTGTATGTATGTATGTGTATGTATGTATGTATGTATGTATATGTGTATATATATATATATATATATATATATACACACACATTGTTTATGATTAACAACAGGTGCACTAGATGAGCAACAATGAGACGACTCCCAAAACAGAAATGGTCTTACAGGTGGAGGCCACTGACATTTTTTTCCCTACTCATCTTTTCTGACTGTTGTTCACTAGTTTTGCATTTGGCTAGGGTCAGTGTCACTACTGGCAGCACGTGATGATACGGGACCCTACAGAGCTTGCACAGGCAATCCAACTCCTCCAGGATGGCACATCAATTTGTGCAATTGCCAGAAGGTTTGCTGTTTCTCCCAGCACAGTCCCAAGAGCATGGAGGAGATTCCAGAAGACAGGCAGTTACTCTAGGAAAGCTGGACAGGGCCGTAGAAGGTCCTTAACCCATCAGCAGGACCGGTATCTGCTCCTTTGTGCAAGGAGGAACAGGATGAGCTCTGCCAGAGCCCTAAAAAATGACCTCCAGCAGGCCACTGGTGAGTGTCTGTGACCAAACAATCAGAAAGAGATTTCATGAAGATGGCAAGAGAGCCCGACGTCCTCTAGTGGGCCCTGTGCTCACTGCCCGGCACCATAGGGCTCGATTGGCATTTGTCATTGAACACCAGTATTGTCCGGTCCTCCACTGGTGCCCTGTGCTTTTCACAGATGAGAGCAGGTTCATCCTGAGCACATGTGACAAACGTGACAAGGTCTGGAGAAGCCATGGAGAACATTATGCTGCCTGTAACATCGTTCAGCATGGCCGTTTTGGTGGTGGGTCAGTGATGGTTGGAGAAGCATATCCATGGAGGGACGCACAGACCTCTACAGGCTAGACAACGGCACCCTGACTGCCATTAGGTATTGGGATGTAATCCTTGGACCCATTGTCAGACCCTACGCTGGTGCAGTGGGTCCTGAGTTTCTCCCGCTGCACGACAATGCACAGCCTCATGTGGCGAGAGTATGCAGGCAGTCCCTGAAGGATGAAGGAATTGATACCATTGAATGGCCACCACGCTCGCCTGACCGCTCGCAAATCCAATAGAACACCTCTGGGATATCATGTTTCGGTCCATCCGACACTGCCAGGTTGCACCTCAGACTGTCCAGGAGCTTAGTGATGCCCTGGTCCAGATCTGGGAGGAAATAATCCATCCGTCGTCTAATTAGGAGCATTCCCCAACATTGTCAGGCATGCATACACGCACGTGTGGGTCATACAAACTACTGAGTACCATTTTGAGTTGCTGAAATGAAGTTTCAGCAAAATGGACTAGCCTGCTGCATCATTTTTTCACTTTGATTTTCCGGGTGTCTTTGAATTCAGTCCTCTGTAGGTTGATAGTTTTAATTTCAATCAAATGATGGGGCAAAAATAAAAATGCAATTGGCGCAAGAGAATTTGTAGTGGATATAACGTTCACTCAGTAAATCTTAAACAAAATAATCCAGTAAACAGAAATTAAGATATATAATCATATATGCTAGTAATAAAGGGACAACAAGTAGATGATGCAGCTTTAGTGGTGAGGAAAGGGAAGGGGGGAGGGGTGGGGGTTGGGAAAGGAGGGGAAAAAAAAAGTCCTTGTAATGCAAACAGTACTGGATTGAGATAGATGATATATATATATATATATATATATATATATATATATACATATATATACAACGCTGCAATGTAGACACCGTCGTGAGGCTTGCACTTTCTAGAGTAAACCGGACTCTGTGGTAAATGGAGAAGAAAGAGAAGTGCGCCAGACTAAGTGCAGTAGGAATATAAAAGTTTATTGCACACAAGATTATAAAAACTCACAAGAAGTGGGTAGATATCAGGCATCAATATATAAGGAGGAGGATGTCATCTGTGCTGCACCTCACAAATAGATGGCTGTAATGCCAAGGTGTTGTGTGGCTGGCGCTCTAGGCGGGTCCCACAGGAGGAAGCGAGGATGGCAGGCGCAGTAACCGGGAGTCGCGGCGCAGGTAAGAACCGGGATCTAGGGCAGGCACTGCTGATCTCTCACATCAGCGTGGGTACAGTAGCCAGCTTGAGGCACATCCTTCCATTCCTAACACATTACCCAGTCCATATCAGTATAGATATCCAGCATGAGATTTTTCCCCAAAGTGTTCCTTTTAATTTTTGGAGAGAGAGAGAGTGATTTTAAGTTATATATATATCACTAATATATATTTTATAAGTTTTCTTTCTTGCCACCCATGTTTTTCATAATAAAGTATATTTGCTGTTGTGGATTTTATATCATTCATTCCTTTTATAGCTGTGTTTTTTACATTTTGATTTTTTTTTTTTTTTTTTTTTTTTCATGCTACTTATTTAGGAAAATTCTGTTACTGGATACATAACAGCAAAAAAAAAAAGTGTTTAAAAAGCCTATTTGAAATTCTTTGTTTAGCAAATAATCAGAATTAATTATTTTTATCGTTAAAACCATCTCTCACACGTGATTTCTTTGCTTTATAGCAGCATGATGCAGAGGTAAAACATCTATCAGAAGCTCTTAAAGAGAAGATTAAAGAAAATAAAAGACTAAAATCCTCTTTTGACACCTTGAAGGAAATGAACGACACCCTAAAAAAACAGGCAAGACACAGCCTCTGTTTTATAATACTTAGGATCAGATGAATAAACTGTGACCCACTAAACATTACAATACAGGTCAGAACAAGATAAGTCAATCAGAAACCTTTCTGAGTAGGTGTTAAATGGTTTACATACCATGGACTGAAAACTGGTTCCCTATATTGGCGTTTCATGCTCTGGTTATGTTGTGCTTTAGTTGTTTTACAAACGGATAACAGTTTAAATGCTATAACCCTAGTATAATTGCTCTTTTTTGGGGGGGAAACTACGCAGTTTTTGGACGCTCTTTGTCTTTAGTTGTTAATCTGGTAAAAGTTTGCAGATAAAGACCTGTGTGTAGCTCATCCTTCTCACAACATTATTGGCAAGTGGTCTGTAAAAGTATAACACTTGATTCCCATTGTGAAATAAGCACATCCTTTTATCTTGATGTGCTGTCATGTAGTGGAGGGGCCTTGGCACAGTTACAAGGATATCAAGTCCTATCAAGTTTATTGCAGAACTGGTACAATTTTTAATTTAGACATTTTTATTGACTCTGACTTTAAACCAATTCCTGCATGCATTTATGTAAGGGCTTTCTGAGTGACTTAACGAACACAAATATAGAGATAAGGAATTTTCTAAACAAAGCTTGTCATGTCAGCCCCCATTCTTCTCTTATGACAAAATCCCATTAAGAAACATGTTATAAGAACTACCTACAGTGTATTTTTACAAAGCTGTATTTTTGTTGTTTTGAATAGAGTAGGAAAGGATTACAACACCTGTCATGTTTTAATTGCAGTCTTTGTCTTCCCAAAATATATTCACTCTCTCTTGGTGACCATGCTTATTGAGACAGAAAATTATGTGAAACCCTAAGGGCTCATTCACACTTGACTGTTTTTCTAACTTTTGCCAAATGCCCCTATTAACGCTCCGCAAACGCCACATGCTCGGTTTAGCGGAAGTTGCTAGGCATTTGTGAAGCATTAAAAACGGCCCACAAAAGACTATAATGAAGTTTGAATGGTCTTAACGCTCCACAAATGCCCCGCAACCACGTCGCAACCGCACCGCAAACACCGGGCGTTTGCGGAGCGGCACCATAGATTTGAATAGGAGGCTTCAACTCCTCCTGACTCAACCAGCGGCGTCCGTTTTGCCGCAACGCGGCGCTAACGCTCTCGTTTGAACAGCACCATGTGTTTGCTGCAATGTGCAGAATTTTCCCAGGCATTTGGGAAATGGTAAAAACGCTTCCCAAATGCCTGTCTGCCGCTTGCTAACAAGGCTAGTGTGAACGTAGCCTTAATGTAAGAGTTGTACCCAGAACAAGGGTTGAAGGTAAATCTTCTAATATGAACAACTGATCTAGTGACAGGTGTCTAAGAGGGGAATTTCCCTCACTTTGTAGCGATTCCCTCTCACTTTCTGTAAGAAGTGAAGGAAACTCCCCAACCAACAGGTTTTTAACCCCTACTCTATCCAAACCTTAAAAAAAAATTGCTATTTTAACACTGTGTTCAAGCAGAGCTAAAGTATCTTTCAAATTCAAACAATCTGTGTTAGCGTTTGCATTATCCATATTTCATAATATCTATAGGCCATTATGTTTAATTTGTTTCACAGCAGGTGGTGGTGAAGGAATGCTACCATTTGAGGGAAGTGATGTGTCTGTGTGGATTTCTATCCGCACCGAAGTCCTCCCTCTTGCCTGCTCTTTTTGAGTTTGTTGTCACTTGTTTTACTAAATGCAGTTCTCTATCAAGTGAGATGGGAGATAATAGGATAGGACAAGGATGAGTCACGCTGTTCTATGCAGTGATGTCTCTCTCTCCTATACAAAAGTAAGAGTATGATGACATTGTAAGAGGGAGGTGAGAAAAACCTATAACCTCTGAATTTCTCAACCAGAAGAGGTGAAACCATGAGGTGACAGAGAATCCTGCCCTGTGCATGCACAGCAGCTGAATGACCTCCTGGGAAAAGCCACAAGGCATAGTTTTGCAAGCATGCATGCATCATTTTTTACTTCAATTTCAGAGTGCAGTTTCACAAAAAAGCTGTCATTACATTTGAATTTCCATGATAACTGCTCCAATCCTTTAAAGCTTATTTCCCCTTGGGTGGTTCACCCTTTATATTTACATATGGATTTCTAGGATTACTGCTGCAACCCTTAAAGCTTATTTCCCCTTGGGTGGCTCACCTCTATATTTGTCTTGGGGATCATTGTGCCAGAACTGAAACTGATGGATTTTGGTTGTCCTAAAAGCAGGAGGTAATAGGAAATCTTCCAATCAGAAAAACCTTTTGTTGAATATGACTGATATGGAGTTTCCTTGATTTTCTAACTAATAGGTGGAAAACTGTAGAATAGAGTACTGTGTTCTATGTAGCAGTGTTGTCTTCATGGATGAAAATATTTTTCTCAATGAAATTATCACTATTTTATTCAACTAAAATATGACTAAAACAATTCAGATGACCAAAGTGCAATTAAAACTAAAATGGCATTTTAGTAAAAAGGCTATGACTAAAAAAAAATTTGACGTAAAAATTAACACTGTTGTGTAGTTACAATTAAGTGACTAAAACTTTGTCCTTGTTAAAATTATATTTACAATAGATGTAAGAAAGGACCCACACAATTTAGTATTGATTCTTGAGAGAGTGCATTTTAGGCACCGTGTTCCTTTCCTCTGCAAAATAAAATCCTGCATATTCTCATTCGTTCCTTGGGTCTTTACAGCTGAATGAAGTAAGTGAGCAAAAACAAGACATTGGAAATTCAAGCTAGAAAAGTGCAGTCGCGCCTGGAAAATTTGCAAGTAAGTTTTAAAATTGCTGATTATTGCATTTGCACAGACACTTCTTATAAAGAAACTACATATCCCACAACTCTGGGTCTCTCAGTTTAGAACTGGTGCAGATAAGCGCTAAATAGTAATTATTCCTGACACAGACACAAACAGGCAAAGGATTAATAGAGAGATCTCCATGCTGGACGAGTTGTGTTTTTAATCACATTAGCGCTCTCACATTTGTGATGCATCATGGAGGAAATGGTGAGGCATGGATTGGATGCTGTGTAACCTGGAAGAACTTGCCCGTCCATTTTAGCGAATAGGAACAAGCTGGTTAAATGAATACATGGATAAAGGGAAATTGATCACCCGTGACACTAAAAACTGCAGCCACAACATAAGAGCCCATCATTACATAGGAAGACAAATGACACAGAGAATGTAACTACACTAATATCTAGTTAAACCAGTAAAAAAAAATTGAAAGTCTACAATGCCTTTAAAGTAGTATTTAACCCACAACAATTTAGCTTAAAGCGGTATACCCAAACCAAAAATGTGTTCTATTGCAGTTTACCAATCATTAGATGTGGTGGCTGCATTCGTTTTCTTTTCGTGTTTTTTTCACCTAGTGATCTACCCAGTAATATTAGCGAGACACCACTCTGGATGAATGAGCACAGCAGCATTGTCAGTCTGCGTGCAGGGGAGTGTTAAATGTATTCGCAGATTTGAATACAATAACAAATTGAAGCCAAATTCCAGCTCACACTTTAAAAACCGTTACATCAACAGTTTTTTTTTTTTTTTTTCTTTCGGGGGGAAAAGGTTTTACATGAATAAATAAAAGCTGATAATTCTAATCATCGATGCCAGTGGTAAATGGATTGTCTCCTCTATGTAAGCTGATACATCCTGCTGGAGAGCTAGTTCTTTTGAATAGCAACAGATTTGCTGGCTGGGTCACCAGATGAAAATTGATGAGATGGCTGCACTAATTTCATTTTTTAGGCTTTCTTTTTTCTAAGGATTAGTAAACTGCAATATAATACATGTTTGCTTTTAATACTGCTTTAAGATCTTGAGAACAATACAATAAACACTGTATTGCAAATTCTTACCCAAGCTTTTGAAGTTTACAACTTTCAGTGCTTTTGACTCCTGTTTTCTCGTTGCTCGTTCCCTAAACATTGGACAATGCAGTCTTGAGGCAGTCGGTTAGTTTGGAGAAGGGAGTGAGGAACAGGGGAGTGCCTTGTCATCCTAGACTACAGATCTGTTCTTTTGATGCACACGGCAAAGGGAGACCCTTTTTTTAGTTCTTGCATCCAAGGGTGGCTCTATAGGAGAAAAATCACCCTGAAAAATTAAACTGGGGCAACTTGGACCAATGTAACTACAGTTATGGCTAAAAAAAATATTGGCACCCCTGCATTTCTGTCAATTAATACACCACTTCACGCAGAAAATTGTTGCAATTAGAAATGTTTAGGCATTCTCATGTTTATTTATTTTGTTTGTACTGGTATGACACAAAAAAGTGAAACAAAAAGCCAAATCTGATACATTCCACCCAAAACCCCAAAAATGGACTGGACAAAATGATTGGCACCTTCTCAAAATTGTCAGAAATAATTGCATTCCAAGTTTGTGATGTTCCTGTAATTTGTAATTAAACTGGTCTGTATCAATTAACGTGCTGATAATAAACACACCGGTTACCAGTTAAAATGGTGAAAAATTGACTGTTTGTGTGTCTCTATGTGCCACACAGAGCAAAAGAATTGTCTGAGGATTTGAGGGAAAAAATTTGTGGAAAAGCATGGACAATCTCAAGGTTGCAAGTCAATCTCCAGAGATCTTAAACATTTGTAATTGCAACAGTTTTCTGGCCGAAGTGGTGCATGATCTGACAGAAATGCAGGGGTGCCAATAGTTTTGGCCATGAATGTATGTATATACCATACCTGGCTTATTCCCCTGGAAACTTGAAATCACTGAAGTAGTCATCGCTAGTCCAGTGATTTCCCCTTTCTTCTGGGTCCTGTGTTGAGCTGCTGGCCTGATGCATTGAGAACACAGTAGGTTAGGGAGGTGATGTCACGTTCTCCACCTCATTCAATCAGAGATTACTTTCATTCATCGGTCGCTCTGCACTGGCACCTTTCAAAAAATGCTTCACTGGTTCACCGAGGAGAAAATGGTACATAGTGGCTACACTTAGAACCGTTACTAATTGACGCCTGTGCACTCCCGTGTGGGCAAACACGGCCCATGGCGGTGTGGGCAAACTAAGTATGCCCATGTGAATGAGGCCTAAGTGCAAATACTGTACCTTCAGATCTCTACAAATATTCCATTTATATTTGCTATTAACATTTTCTTGCTAGATTTTGCTGACTAGTTATTAAAAGTATGCTATGACAAATAAATAAAATATTGTATCATATTGTCAGTAATTGTACAGAATATTGTGTATGGGTCACAAGAACACAAACTACTTGCAGACCAGCGACGTACCTGTACATTGCTAGACTTCAAGCAATTACACCGGAATAATACTGCTACCGTTTTTTAGAGCCAGTAGTTGGCTCTCTTGTAAAAGCAATTGGAGTGGAGAACTAGCCTCTAGATTGCTTTTACAGGCAGCAAGAGGGGGCATCCTTCCCCTCACGCCACCTTCAGCAGGTCTCTTGGGCTCTCCTGTCCCACTGAGAGACCCGAGCACCCAGCCGCCACATCTGCCTGCTGGTTGGTCAGCCAAGCAAAGCTGGAATCTGCTATGATTGGCTATCCACTGTAGTAACCCGTAAGTGATGACCACTTCCGGTTTACTTGGAATTAAATGGCACCATTTGAAAAAAAATTAAAGCATGCAAAAACATCCATCTTGGTGTCTTGAATGCTTTTAAGTGCAGAGGAGGGATATGGGGTCTTCTCAACCCCAGATCCCTCCATAAAGAGTACCTGTCATGTGCCTATTGCTGTCACAAGGGATGTATACAGTAATTGTGACAACAATAAAAGTGATTAAAAAAATTTAAAGTAACAGTGTAAAAAAATAAAACCAATAAAAAAAGAAAAGAAAAAAGGTGACCGCATGCCTCCTGCACACATGCAAACAGCGATCGTCCCACATATGTGAGGTATTACTGCAAACATCAGATCATGGGCAGTAATTCTAGCACTAGACGTCTTCTGCAAATCTAGAGTGGTAACCTATAGAGGCTTTTCAAGCATTGCCTATGGATAGTAAAATTGACAGCATTTATATATATATATATATATATATATATATATATAAATATTTTTTTTTTTTTCCCCTTTTTGATTCACTGTGTAAAATCTGAATTTCTAGCAATCTGTGTGTAATTGTTGTTTACCAGTGTATTTACCTTGCCCGTTGAGACATGTTTCTAGTGTAATTTGTGCGTTTTTCAGAGAAAGCAAGCGTTTCTTACAGTGCAGAAATGCAAGGATGTTTCTCAGCTCATACGTGAACCAAAATTTTATAAGACTGAAAAAGCTCCTGTTCCCCCAAAAGCTAAGGCAAGTTGAAATTTTCTTATATGGTGCACACTTCCACTGCCCAATTTCTTCTTGTTATATATTTTGTGTCATAATTTGTAATAGGTTTTCTATAGATGTCTGTGAAGTAGGTTAGTGCTGTATAAGTGTGTGTGTGTGTGTGTATATGTGTGTGTGTATATATATATATATGTGTATATATATATATATATGTGTGTATATATATATATATGTGTGTATATATATATATATATATATATATATATATATATATATATATATATATATAAAAATATATAAATAATATTAGTAATAATAATCAAAATGGTTGGGGGGTTAAGTTTGTATGTGTTACTAGATTCCTCTGTAATATACACTGCTCAAAAAAATTAAAGGAACACTTTTCAATCAGAGTATAGCATCAAGTCAATTAACCTCCTGGGATATTGATCTGGTCAGTTAAGTAGCAGAGGGGGTTGTTAATCAGTTTCAGCTGCTTTGGTGTTAATTAAATTAACAATAGGTGCATTAGATGGGCAACAATGAGATGACCCCCAAAACAGGAATGGTTTTACAGGTGGAGACCACTGACATTTGTCCCCTACTCATCTTTCCTGACTGTTTTTCACTAGCTTTGCATTTGGCTAGAGTCATTGTCACTACTGGTAGCATGAGGTGATACCTGGACCCTACAAAGGTTACACAGGCAGTCCAAGTCCAACATGCCATTGCCAGAAGGTTTGTTGTGTCTCCCCACACAGTCTCAGGAGCATGGAGGAGATTCCAGGAATAGGCAGTTACTCTAGGAGAGCTGGAAAGGGCCGTAGAAGCTCCTTAATAAATCAGCAGGACCGGTATCTGCTCCTTTTTGCAAGGAGGAACAAGATGAGCACTGCCAGAGCCTTACAAAAGGACCTCCAGAAGGCCACTGGTGTCTCTGACCAAACAATCAAAAACAGACTTCATGAGGCTGGCGTGAGGGTCCGACATCCTCTAGTGGGTCCTGTGCTCACTGCCAGACACCATAGAGCTTGATTGGCATTTGCCATTGAACACCAGAATTGGCAGGTCCACCACTGGCGCCCTGTACTTTTCACAGATGAGAGCAGGTTCACCCTGAGCACATGTGACAGACATGAAAGGGTCTGGAGAAGCTGTGGAGAACCTTATGCTGCCTGTAACATTGTTCAGCATAACCGTTTTGGTGGTGGGTCAGTGATAATCTGGGGAGGCATATCCATGGAGGGACACACAGACCTCTGCAGGCTAGACAATGGCACCCTGACTGCCATTAGGTATCGGGATGAAATCATTGGACCCATTGTCAGGTTGCACGTAAGACTGTCCAGGAGCTCAGTGATGCCCTGGTCCAGATCTGGGAGGAAATATCCCAGGACACCATCCGTCGTCTCATTAGGAGCATGCCCCGACATTGTCAGGCATGCATACAAGCAAGTGGGGGCCATACACACTACCATTTTGAGTTGGTGCAATGAAATTTCATCAAAATGGACTAGCCTGCTGCATCATTTTTTTCACTTTGAATTTTGGGGTGTCTTTGAATTCAGTCCTCTGTAGGTTGATAATTTTCATTTACATCAAATGATGAGGCATCCTTCCGATCCTAACACATTACCCAGTTCATATCAGTATAGATATCCAGCATGATATTTTTCCCCACTGAGATCTGATGTGTTTCTAAAGTGTTCCTTTAATTTTTTTGAGCAGTGTATATATATTACTATAGCTGTCCTCTTCTCATAATACTTATTGTCCATTGCTTTTGAGGTAGCCAATATTTGTTGGCATTTCCTGAGAAAAAGACAGCTGACAAGTGCCCACTGAACCTGTGCTAATGTTGCAAAATGTTGAAGACTGGTCAACCTTGAAGCGTTTTAAAAAGGTTTCTCTCTTCTCAGCAGTGTTAGCCTTACTAAGACCTCATTCACCCTGTAATTCCTTCATTTAGCTTTTATAAATGCAGGAGAAGTGAATTGGGAAGCTTAAACAACCCTTTTTTGTATCACAGATCACTTTTTCCTGCATTTAGATGTTCTTGCTTTTTAGCAGGTTTAGCCATGTTTTTAGATTTAATAATTGGATTTTGGGCTCACAGAATTCTATTTTGTGTCAACACAACTAAACTGACTGCACCTAAACTCAGGTAAACTTTGTATGTATGGCACCTGTTAAAGTCATTATAAGCATTTACGTGTGTGTTTTAGAAATGCCCTTTAAGTGCATCTAAACACGTTTGACAGTTCCAGTGTGAATGAGACCTAGTTTTTCTCTTCAAATTACACCATAGTTGTACGAGGCATTCCTTCCTTTAATATTATAATGGTATGTGCTTATTTTTGAAGATTTTTCCTTTTATTTTTTCTTATTTTACTTATTGTCTGACTCCCTGGTTTACTCAAATAAGGGAGTCAGACACCGTGTTAAGTCTGACAGTTGCTACCTTAAAAAGTGCATGACATCACATTACCTCCCAGCTTCTGCATGTGCGCCTAACCGCATCAAATAACAGAGCCCCATAGTGGTTTACATTCCTAATAACCACAGAGATTTGTTACTTTATATAGTAATGCATAAATGTAGAAGCTGGGAGGTCAGGTCTTGACAGGTTATCAGTTTCAAGACTTCTGATGATCTTTGACCCTGCCGACTTAGTTTGGGCAAGGAAAAAGTCGATACAGCTAAATATGGGGTAGATATACATTACTGTGCACAAGTTTTAGACAGTTGTGAAAAAATGCTGTAATTTAAGAATGCTTTCTGAAATAGTTTATTAATAGTGTTAGTTATTAATAGTGTTAATAGATTATATTTATCAATTAACAAAATGGAAAGTAAATGAACAAGAGAAATACAAATCAAATCAGTATTTGGTATGTCTACCCGTGCTTTCAAAACAGTATCAATGCTTCTAGAAACACTTGCACACAGTTTGTGAAGGGACTCGGAAGGTACAGCCCTGGCCAGAAGTTTTGAAAACGACACAAATTTTAAATTACCTGGAAGGAAACACATGCATCATCATTGCTTTGCGCAAAAAGAGATTCACAGGCAAGGATATTACTGCTACTAAGATTGCACCTAACCCAACCATTTATCGGATCATAGAGAACTTCAAGCAGAGAGGTTCAAAGGTTGTAAAGAAGACTTCAGGGTGCCCAAGTCCAGTAAGCGCCAGGACCATCTTCTGCAGATGATTCAGCTGAGAGACTGGGAAACTACCAGTGCAGAGCTTGCTCAGGAATGGCAGCAGGCAGGTGTGAGTGCATCTGCACGCACAGTGAGGCAAAGATTTTTGGAGGATGACCTGGTGTCAAGAAGGGCAGCAAAGAAGCCACTTTTCTGCAGGAAACACACCAGGGACAGACTGATATTCTGCAAAATGTATAGGGATTGGACTGCTGAGGACTGTGGTAAAGTAATTTTTCTCTGATGAATCCCCTTTCTGATTTTGTGGCATTCCGGAAAAAACATGTCCGGAGAAGAAAAGGTGAGAGCTACCATCAATCCTGTGTCATGCCAAAACAGTAAAGCAGCCTGAGACCGTTCATGTGTGGGGTTGCTTCTCAGCCAAGGGAGTGGGCTCATTCACAATTCTGCCTAAGAACACAGCTATAAATAAAGAATGGTATATAAAAAAAAAAAACACATAAAGGGCAACTTCTCCCAACCATCCAAGAACAGTTTGGTGACAAACAATGCCTTTTCCAGCATGATGGAGCACCCTGCCATAAGGCAAAAATAATAACTAAGTGGCTTGGAGAACAAAAAAAAAAACTCCCATAAATTCTGACAAACTCCAAGCATTGATTATGCAAGAATGGGCTGTCATCAGCCAGGATGTGGCCCAGAAGTTGATTGACAGCGTGCCAGGGCGAATTGCAGAGGTTTTGAAAAAGAAGGGTCAACACTGCAAATATTGACTCTTTGCATAACCCTAAAGTAATTGTCAATAAAAGCCTTTGACACTTATGAAATTCTTGTAATTATACTTCAGTATACCATAGTAACATCTGACAAAAAGATCTAAAAACACTGAAGCAGCCGACTTTGTGAAAATTATTTGTGTCATTCTCAAAACTTTTGGCCAGGGCTTTGGGTTGTTACAAACATCTTGGAGAACTAATCACAGATCTTCTGTAAATGTAAGCTGCCTCAGTCTCCATCCCCCTGTCTCTTCATGTTATCTCAGACAGACTCGATGTTGTAATCAGGGCTCTGTAGAGGCAAAATCATCACTTCCAGGACTCCTTGCTCACCTTTACGCTGAAGATAGTTCTTAATGACATTGGCTGTATGTTTCGGGATATTGTCCTGCAGAATAAATTTGGGGCCAATCGTATGCCTCCCTGGTGGTACGGCATGATGGATAAATATCTAGCTGTATTTCTCAGGATTGAGGACATCATTGATCCTGACCAAATCCCCAGCTCCATTTGCAAAAATGCAGCCCCAAACTTGCAAGAAATCTCCACAATGCTTCACTGTTGCTTGCAGACACCCATTATTTTACTGCTCTCCAGGCTTTTGGCAAACAGACTGCTGCTACAGCTAAATATTTAAAATTTTTACTCAACGGTCAAGAGCACCTGCTGCCATTTTTCGGCACCACAGTTTCTATGTTCTTGTGCATAGTTGAGTCGCTTATGGTTTCCATGTGGAAGGTATGGCTTTTTGGCCGCAATTCTTCCATGAAGACCACTTCTGGCCAGACTTCTCCGGACAGTAGATGGGTGTACCTGGGTCCCACTGGTGTTCACCAGTTCTCTACTGATAGAACTGCTGGACATTTTCAGATGTCGAAGTGATGTCAGCATGATGTGTCTTTCATCTACTGCATTAAGTTTCCTTGGCTGACCTCTGCGTCTACGGTCTTCAATATTGTCAATTTCTTTGTGCTTTTTCAAAAGAGCTTGAACAGCACATCTTGAAACCCCAGTCTGCTATTAAATGTTTGCCTGGAAGAGACATACAGTATAACTACCTTGTGTCTTGTTGCTCAGTCCATTCATGGTGTATGAACTATGACATGAAACTTTCTTCAGCAGTCTCACCTTAGTAGCAGAGTTTGGCTGTTCCTCACACAGTTTTAAGCTTCCTACACAGCTGTTTGTTTGTTAATGACTGTGTTTCAACCTACATATGAAATTGATGATCATTAGCACCTGCTTGGTATAACTGGTTAATCATAGACCTGCCTTGATCCAAAGTGTGGAAGTGTAAGACATGATGCTGGTTTGAAGCCAAATGATAGCCACACCAAATATTGATTTGATTTAGATCTTTGTTGTTTGGTCACTTTGCATTTTGTAAAACAAACAATTAAAATACTGTATATGTTTTTATAAGCATTCTTACTTTACAGCATTTCTTCACACCTGCCCGAAACATTTGCACAGTACTGTATAACTTTCATAAGTTCATTTGTGTGGTAATAATTATTTAACAGGGAATACTTTGATTCTTGCATGTGTCATATTTTGACTGGTTCTGTTCATAGTTATTAGCAAATATATTAGCTTTTTTCTGTGACGGAGGTTTCAGTGGCTGATGGTGTCTCATACCATGCACAGGCAGTTCCATCAGCTCTTGGCAGCATTTCACATCTTAATTAAAGTGAAGTCATGGAAGGTCAAACTGTCTTTATTTTTTGTGTCCAAAAGCAATGCAATGACTCAATTTTATTCTTTTAATGTACAGTACACAGATGAAAATGATAACATGTTGGCCATTTTGCAGATTCCTACCAATATACAAGTATACAAACTCTTAACCTTTCTTATGGACTGGATGTCTGCAGCTGAAGAAAGTAGAAGTGGAGACAAGCCATTATGCACAGACAAATTGCCCGTAAACTGTGTGCAGGAAAAGTGTGCCAAGGTAAGCTTATTATAACATTTTATGATGCTCTTCTAGAACTGCAGGTTCCAACAAAGCACTGTCACTTATCCTGCCAGAAACGTTCACTGTGTTTGCACACAAATGCATTTTAGTTACGTTTTGTCTTTTCTTCTTGCACAGAGCTCTCAAGAGGTCCTAATATAAATTAGCTGCTAGATGCATATTTAGATAAGAAATGGACTTTGTATGATAGGATTACAGCAGATAATGTTATGATATCAAAGTTGGACAAAAGGTAGTGAGCTGGGTTAAACATTATCTTAGATCACCTGCTTTCAATGCAAAGATAAGCCTCTTGCATTGTTCTTACAGTTTCCACAGTTGCCACGAGATACAGCAACTATATAATGTGTTTTATATATTTACTTTCTAATTTTCATATATTCAAGCTGGCCATACACTGACCTAAGACAGGAAGTTTATTAAGACTACAGAACGCCTCCCGCATTCCTCATCTCCATAACAAAAAGGGAAGGTATTCTTTAGGTCACAGAGGTAACTTAGACAGGAAGATAAGATCACAGACACTGCAGAATACACCAGACAGTATTGCATTTCTGGCAGGGTATTTTTTGTAGTTCTTAAACAAATATAACAAAACAAACTCTTTCAGTTTTATATTTAACAGATCAGATAAGAGAAGTTCATGTTCATTTTCAGGTTTCCATACACTTCTTCAAGGAACCTAGAGGCCTTTTTTTCTCCTTATCAATATCTTGCTAAGGATGCACAAAAAATACCTTTCAACAAAAAGTTGTGTTGGTGGGAATTTCCTTTTTTGAAAAAAAAAAAAAATTATAATAATTGTGTGTGTATCTATAATTATACATGATTTATATAGCGCCAACAGTTTTCTCAGCGCTTTAAAATATAATGGGAGACAATGCAGCAACAATACAGTTCAATACAAGAGGGTTAGGAGGGCCCTCTTCTTGGAACTTACAATCTAAGAGGAAGAGTCTAGTGGTACAAAAGGTACTAACTGTGGGGGATGGACTGGTAGGAGGAATAGAAGATTCCATTATTAGCTGACGGCAGGATAGGCTTCCCTTAAGAGAGAGGTTTTCAGAGATCGCCTGAAAGTGAGTAGAGTCGGCGATAGTCTGATAAATTGGGGTAGAGAGTTTCAGAGGATGGGGAAAAGCTCTGGAGACGAGCATGGGAGGAGGGGGCAAGGGAGCTAGAGAGTAGGAGGTCGTGCGAGGAGCGGAGAGTATGGTTCTGGTAATATTTGGAGACAAGATTGGTGATGTAATTTGGGGCAGAGTTATAAAAGTAGAGATTTAAAAGTAGAGAAGAGACGACAAGGACTGGATGACAAGGTATTGATGAGAGTGACAAAGTAGGCTTGTTTCGCAGCATGGAGGGAGGAATTGTATGTTAGGAAAGCAGATTTATATAGGGTGAAAGCTTGGTGAGATTTGGTTTTATGCCACAATCGCTTCAGTGCACGACTATGTTGCTTAAGATTTCTGGTGTCGTCAGTCTGCCACGGTTGTAACGGTTGGGGCTTGATATTTCATGTAATTAGAGGAGCAAGTGAGTCTAATGTGGATGAAAGTGAACTGTTGTAGACAGCAGTGGGCAGGACAGGGGAGAGATTCTGTCATAGAGACGGTCAGTCGCAGAGTGGAAAAGAGAAGGGTTTAAGTTGTGAAGGTTTCTGTGGGTAATTGTTTGCTGCTTGGAGGGATAGGTGTTTCAAGACAAGGACACTGTGAAGGGAATGAGATTGTGATCAGAGAGAGAGGAAAGGGGGTGTTTGTGAGGTTGTAGGGAGTGCAAAGATGGGAGAAAACAAGTTCTAATGTATTCCCATCAGAGTGAGTGGAGGACTGTGTCCATTGTGTTAAGGCAAAAGATGAGGTTAGGATGAAGAATTAGGATGTAGCCGGGTTGTTCACATTAATGGGGATGTTAAAGTCTCCAAGAATAAACAGTTATTTCAGAGGAGAGAAAGTAGGGTAGCCATGCAGAGAAGTCATCAAGAAAATGAGACACCGGTGCAGGAGGCCAATAGATCACTGCAATCCTCAGAGAAATAGGAGAAAACAGCCGAATGCAGTGAGTCTCGAAAAAAGAGAAGGATAGAGAGGGAGGGTTAGGGAGGACTTGAAAGGTGCTCAGTGGGGATAGAAGCAAACCAACTCCACCACCTTTCCGACCACTGGGTCTGGGTGAGTGGGTCCAGAGAATGCCTCCAGAGGAAAGTGCTGTGGGAGAAGCAGAATCTGCTGCTTGAAGCCAGGTTTCTGTAATGCTGGTAGGTTAAGGGAGTGGGAGACAAAAAGGTCATGGACATAGGTGAGCTTATTACAGACAGACCGGCATTCCAGAGCGCACATGAAAAACGGAGGGTGGTTTTTAGGCGCATAGGGATTGAGATTAAGTTGAGCAGATCGTGACTATTCCCGGAGGAGGGTGCATGGTGTGGGGGTGAGATAGTGGAGGATCAGGGTTCGGGGGGGGAGGGATATCCCCAGAGGTTAGGAGAAGGAGGGTGAGGAAAGTAAGGTGGGAGCGGGATGTATATGAGTGCACATGCCTTCCTATCCTGATGTTTGGGTCAGCAGGTGAGTAAAGTATCAGCAGTGATGAGAGCAGTAGTAGGGAAATGGCAGAAGTGAGGGTGAGATGTATAAGCTTTGGGGTGGAGCAGAGGGGTAAAGAAAGGAGATTTTGGGAACAGAGGATAGTAATATGAAAAGGAGGAGTAGAGGTGGCATATTAAAAGGTACATGGAGTGGGACTCAGACTTGTAGGAGATGTTTCCCAGGGTGTTTGCTTGCAGTCCATCCAGCGTGCAGTAGAGTTCTTTGTTGTATCTTCCTGCTGCTTGAGTTAAACTGCTGCGTTCAACTGCTGCTTCACACTCCAGCATACAACGCACTCACGTAGACAATTGCACCCCTGTCTGACTGTGCCCCCCCCCCATGAGTGGTCTAAATTTACAGGGAGATGGTCAAATGAGCAACTCTTCTCTGCCCCAACTAGGAACTGATAAGGATCATAAGAATTGGGGGGGGGGGGGGGGAGAATGTTGCTCAAAGACACACCAGCCACCCAGGCACAGGCCAAAGTCATAAAAGAAATGCAAGAGGAGGTAAGCATCAATCACCACAAACAGACCAAAGGATATACACTAATTGTTCTGAGTTTTGCAAAAAGTCTATGCGTTGCAGAAATTACAGTTTAAGGTGAAGATGAGACAGCAGCATTTACCTGCGAAAGAGCTGAGAAGACATGATATATATTTTTTATTATCTTTTTTTTCAGGCCCTTCACGTTATTGTGGAGCAGTTTGGATGGATGCCATTTGTCAATAGCAAGATACATTTATCATTCATGAGGTTTACATATTGGACTTTGTTTCAGCTTGATTCTTCAACACAGGTAAAATGTATTATTTGTTCAACTACTGTAACCTAATTTCTGTAGATTTAAGAAAACAAATCTTTTCTGGATTGACATCATGCAGCAGTATTTTATATTCACATAGCTGTCTGTTCTATACATTTTTATATGTTGACTTATGTTATGATATCTATTCATTGTTTTACACTACACTTCTCCCTTTCTTATGGCCACAGTCCACCATGACCTCGACTATAAGGCGAATTGGTGATGAAACATGTAAAGGAGTTCTGTGTGATCCCATGGAAGATAATGGCACAGACCGCAAGCCAAAATCTGTAGCTTTTTTTAAGAGCAATAACTTACCGCTACGATTTATTTCAACACTGGTTGTTCTTAAAACTGTAACACAAGGTAAGCATTTTGACATTCTGTAGAATAAAATATGGGCATGACAAAATCTTTTCTTGGAATTAGAGCTCAATAGATACAAAAGGGGATATATTCCACTGCATTAACTGCATTGTGAGAAGGCTTCAAGCTGATCTGTTCTCTCATATTAGCAAATTGAATACCTGCATTATGTGTTGTGGGACTCTTTGTAAACCAACCTAATAGTTTTTAATAGCCTTCCGTTTGTTGGGTGATGGCAGTTCAAAGAATTTCAAAATACACATACCATACCATACACATCCCATATGTTAACCGTAATATTATCAGCATTTTCTGTTTTCCTAAGCTACATTTCTGTCATGCCTATATTATGGGCATTATAAATGAATGTCCCTTGGGGAAATATCAGAATATCTATCTTTTTCTAACTGATGATGCATGTTACAATCTGTGCAATCGCCTTCAGATTTACCATCAACTATTTTTAGTATGAGTGCCTGCTTGACTGGATATACAGTAGATTGAATGTGTAGCTTAGCTAGGTCCACATATTACAAACAATATTCAAATAAAGTGCAGCGTTCACATTTATAAAACAAAATGAATTAATCATGGGGATGATATTATGTGAAAACTGATAAAAATTAATCAAAAGTATCCATAAATGATATCATATGGTGGAATCAGAATAAAGCAGTCTCAAAACTGTGGTGAGATCAGAAGACTTCCAAAGACAGCCAAATGTGACACTATCCACTCACGTGCAAGGCTTACCAGAAGGCGTGTGACCCCTACTAAGAGTGGTCAATCTATGGTTAGTGGGATATCATTAATAACATCAAGGGAAATATACGATACACCCAAGGAAATGATACATTTTCCTCCAATAGATCGAACAGTTGCTAGGTGAGGAGAAGGAGGGCTGAGTTTGGGATGAAACTGCTGTGTGTGTGCCCGCTGGAGAGATTCACATTCCTGGTCATCCTGAGAGTGAAGTTGTGCAGGGAGTCCAACATTTTTCACTGGAACAGGAATAAAGTGCCCAATTTTCATGTATACAGCAGGACAATCTGGTTGTCTCTGAATATCTTTGTCCCTAATAACTCCAAGAAAAATACTTTATGCGCCACAAGTTCTTGGTTCATTAACTTACCTGGGAACGATTGGATCTATTGGAGGATCATTTATCATTTCCTTGGGTGCATTGTATATTTCCCTTGATGTTACCAATGATATTCCACTAAGCATAGATTGACCACTCTTAGTAGGGGTCACACGCCTTCTGGTAAGCCTTGCATGTGAGTGGCTGGTGTCACATTGGCTGTCTTTGGAAGTCTTCTGATCTCACCTCGGTTTTGGGCTGCTTTATTCTGATTCCACCATACGGTTATATAATTTATGAACACTTTGAATAATTTTTTATCAATTTTAACAAAATATCATCACCATGATTAATTAATTTTTTTTGATATATTTCAGAGCTGCACTTTATTTGACTATTGTATATGAGGTTCCAGGTATCAGGGTATGGTGCCCAGCTGCTCTATATGTTTGTTTTTCTAAGCACAGATTTTGGTTATATTTAGCCACATATTACATAGTATTGGTAAATTTTGCACTGCCAGACATATGTTCCTAAGAACCTACACATCATAGGAAATGCACTATTTTCTACAAAATAATTCAAGACTAAAAAATGGATTTCTCTTTAGTTCATTGATGGACACAGCGACTCTTCTCTTGATATCCATAACAGATAGAGTTTTACAGTGCCTTGAAAGTATTCATACCCCTTGAAATTTTCCACATTTTGTCATGTTACAACCAAAAACATAAATGTATTTTATTGGGATTTTATGTGATGGACCAACACAAAGTGGCACATAGTTGTGAAGTGGAAGGAAAATTATGCATTTGTATTCAGCCCCCCCAAGTCATTACTTTGTAGAACAACCTTTCGTTGCAATTACAGCTGAAAGTCTTATTGGTATGTCTCTTCCAGCTTTGCACATCTAGAAAGTGACATTGTTTCCCATTCTTCTTTGCAAAATAGCTCAAGCTCTGTCAGATTGGATGGAGAGCATCTGTGAAAAGCAAACTTAAAGTCTTGCTGCAGATTCTCAATTGGATTTAGGTCTGGACTTTGACATTCTAACACATGAATAAGCTTTGATGTAAAGCATTCCATTGTAGCTCTGGCTGTATGTTCTCAAGTCTTTTGCAGACTCCAACTGGTTTTCTTCTAATATTGCCCTGTATTTGGCTCCATCCATCTTCCCATCAACTCTGACCAGCTTTCCTGTCGCTGCTGAGGAAAAGCATCCCCACAACATGATGCTGCCACCCCCATGATTAACGGTGGGGATTGTATGTTCAGGGTGATGTGCCGTGTCAGTTTTCCGCTTTTAGGCCAAAAAGTTAAATTTTGATCTCATCTGACCAGAGCACCTTCTTCCATATGTTTGCTGTGTCCCCACATGGCTTTTCGCAAACTGCAAACGGGACTTATTATGGATTTCTTTCAACAATGGCTTTCTTCTTACCACTCTTCAATATTGTCCAGATTTGTGGACTGCATGACTAATAGTTGTCCTGTGGACAGATTCTCCCACCTGAGCTGTGGATCTCTGCTGCTCCTCCAAAGTTACCATGGGCCTCTTGGCTGCTTCTCTCATTAATGCTTTCCTTGCCTGGCCTGTCGGTTTAGGTGGACGGCCATGTCTTGGTAGGTTTGCAGTTGCGCCACACTCTTTCTGTTTTTGGATGATGGATTGAAAATTGCTCCATAAGATGTTCAAAGCTTGGGATATTTTTTATAACCTAACTGTGCTTTAAGTGTCTCCACAACCTTATCCCTGACCTGTCTGGTGTGTTCCTTGGCCTTCATGATGCTGTTTGTTCACTAATGTTCTTTAGCATACCTTTGAGGGCTTTACAGAACAGCTGTATTTATAATGAGATTAAATTACACACAAGTGGACTCTATTTGCTAATTAGGTGACTTCTGAAGGCAATTGGTTCCACTAGATTTTAGTTATGGGTATCAGAGTAAAGGGGGCTGAATACAAATTCACGCCACACTTTTCGGATATTTATTTATAAAAATGTTTGAAAACCATTTCATTTTCCTTCCACTTCATGAATATATGCCATTTTGTGCTGGTCTATCATATGAAATCCCAATAAAATACAAATACATTTTTTGGTTGTAATATGACAAAATGTGGAAAATTTCAAGGGGCATGAATACTTTTTCAAGGCACTGTACAGAGCCACTTACTAGAAGTAGGACACTAGGCAGAAAAAACTGTGCACCTCCTATGGGCATTCCCCTCCATAGATATGGCCAGAGCGGCAAAGGGAAAATGGTCACCAGCTCAACAGGAGCACATGCCAGCTCCACAGTAACGAAACACCACTTTGAGCCCAGAGTAACCCCCGCAGTGTCTCGAATGTACCGTGCTGAAACTGTCCTCCGTACCATCCTCCCAGGGAGCTGAAACAGACAACCAGGAAGCCCATCAGTCAAAGGTATGGGAGATGAGGGAAGCTCAGCCATCCACAGGCAGGGAAACAATGCCAGGTAGGGTGAGCAATACAGCCAGGAAGGAAAACCAGAGGCCGGGTGGGTAAACAAACCACCGGGTTGTTGGTTCATGTGAGACATTTAAGTCTGTGGCTGCCCCGGTCCAGGATGGGGCTGTGACAGCCAACCCAATGTGTAGCTAAGGGTCTGCATGCACTCACTGGCCAAATTGGAGTGACCATATTGCTTTCAGATATCCTGCCTTTTGCCCAGCCCAGCTACTGATTGAAGATCTCTGTAGAAGGAAAAAAAAGAACCACAAGTCCCAGCAGGGAATTAGGTCCATACTCCAAAAAACTAGGTAGAAGGAACTGGTGACCTATGCAGTGATTGAGGGTTTCATGCAAGAGAGGACTGCCCATAGGAGGTATAAGTATGAAAATCCCATTTTTTGAGTGTACTGTTTAGATACAACTAACATTTCTGGATGTTCTCTCTAACATAGCAAATCTTCCCTTATTTGAGTTCAGGTCCACTTTAAAGTAGTAGTAAACTCAGTCAAACAAACCCAGAAAATGAATATAGCCACTACACAAAAGCTTTTTAGATCATTCCACTTTATAAGTAAACCCCTCAGTTCCTCCTTTCTATTTTGCAGCTTACTTTGCTTTCTGTGCCTCCTGCCCAAAGCCGACACCATTTTTACTGTTCCCTTCTGCATCTGTACAGTGTAAAACTTTTGCTCTTTCTTGTGGTCTGAATGGCCAGAATCTCACGCATGCACAGTGAGTGATAACCAAGTCTCATGCAAACAGCAGACTACAGCCGGCCAGTGATGTACAGTCTCTCCTCACTGCACATCCTGTGATTGGCGCTGATGTTTACACCACCTTTGTGACATAGAAGTCACATGGTTTGTTTCAGGAAGCTGTGCATGGAGCTGTACTCTGGCGGGATTGCAATGCAATGCCGCAGAGAGTGGATGACCACACAGCATCCGCCGAAATGGAATTGATGACACACAGCATGCCATGAATAGCCACAAATATGCACTTGCGCCAGTGATGTCATGATAGAGTTCCTGGCTTGATTTCAACTGAATGACAAAAGACACCATGTACATTGATTATAAATGATTTTATTGCAGCAAAGTAATAATGTTGAGTTTGCTACCACTTTAAAGTAATACTCCTGAAAGTCTATCCCCAGTTGCTGTGAACATGTGGATGTTTAATTTCTGTAGCAAACATTACATCCTGTGTGGAAATCTATGCTCAAATTAATTTGTGTGTATGTATAAACCTGTACAGTTCTTGCTGATGACTGTTTACTACGTCCACAAGCAGACAGCTTGACAATTCAGACTAAAACTTGATGGTCCGTTTAAGGAATCAGTCCTCTTATAATTGATGTTTTTGTTTTAAGTAAAGCTTGGTGGGTTGAATCAAGCCATTTGTTGTATGTCTTGTATACTTCATAAATGAGATCTTCCTGTGCTAAATCCCAATCTGTTCCTTTCCACTTAGTTTAAGCATGAATTACAGCATGGGATGGCTATGGTTTCTGCTATTTAAACAAAATATAGCTGGCCATGCTTGTGCCAGTTTTCTGGCAATTTCAACTGCTTTTGTTCACGTAGGGAAGAAATCGAATGCAGAAATCATTGGTTTTTGATCGACCACAGAGAGATGTGATTGAAATTTACTGGATTGAACCACATGAAAAAAATCAGATCGCTCTTGGCAAAAATTGCTGTAGTTGTTTTTTTTTTTTTTCCTGGTTTCGATTATTTTTTTTTTTCTAGTAACCTGCATTGAAGCTGTTAGTTCATAGTCTATTTTGATCAAACTCATGTACTCAGTTGAACTCATGGGTCATAGCTTGTTTTTCAGGCAACAATTTTTGGTTGTTTGTTCAATTTTCGGATCAAAAGTGATTGAAGTTGCCTGAAAGTTGCTATGTATATGGCCTGCTTTAGTGTATGGCTCTGCTTAAGGTTTTTTCAGGCGCTTTCAGGTGTTCTTTGAGTGTTTTTACATACATATACGAAGCTGTTAGAGGCATGCTTCAACCATTTTACATGTGTGTTCAGGCTTCAGTTTTGTTTTTTTTTTTGTTGTTTTAGCCAGTAGAAACCTCTAGGGGGGAGGAGACCAGCTCTTGCAGCTTTAAAAATGCCTAAAGTTACACCTAGAAAAAAAGCTTGAAAATGCTTAATTTAAGCATTTGCAGGCATTCCCATTGAAGTCTATGTAACCAAACACCCCCAAATCTGTCTCAAAAATAACTTGTTTATCTTTTTGCAGCTTCAGGCCTTGAGCTACAGGTGTTTGAGCTCACATATGTGAAATTCTCAGGTGTGACTGGAGCTTTACTGGATAACATGCCCAGCACTGTACATGAATTTAAGGCAGCCCATTGAAGAAGGAAAGGCTCGACTCAGCCTGCCAAGCTATATTTATAATACAGCTATCTCTTAAGCGGAGACTACACCTTTAGTGGATCACCACTTTTTAGTCTGAATTGTCTTTTTTTTTTTTTTTAACATATACTCTCTCCTTGTGGTATGTAATACTGTTAATAGCCACCTGCACGGATTGTACAGGATTATACAGGCTATTCAGTAGAAGCATAAGAACTCAGAAAAATATGTACAATGCAGATTTTTTTTTTTTTTTTTGACGCATGACAATTTATGGTAGTGTATTACCATGCTTTGTGGTGTGCATCAGAGCTGTGTTGCCATTCACAATAAATGGCACCATGCTAACATGTAATTTGCATTATTGCATATTGTAGTAACACATGCGCTGCCTTGCCACATCATAAAGGACCTTGTAATACAGAGTGTAAAACATCAGGTGTACTTGTTAACCTGTTTTAAAATAAGAGGCCTACCATACATTGCACCATTAAGCTGTATGCTGCAGTGTTGTGTTATGCAGGAATTGCTATGTCAAATAGTGGCATATACATGACAGCTAGGCTGCAGAGGAAGAGGCTGTGTGATGCTGGTCCTTACATAGCCAGATGTGTACAGTAGTCCATTTGAGCAAGAGGACTTTATTTCAGTGATTCCTCTCTTCTATATTGTGCTGTGCCGAAGAATATGTTGAAGAGGAGAGAGGGTGCCCTGCATGACTGAAGGCAAGTAACCTTTAACCATGCTGTGAAGAGATTGAAAAAAGGTCGGACAAAATAATTAGGCATTGCTATCATAAATTAACTCTAATATTAGACAGCAACTCTACTACAAAGAACCTCTAACTTTTGTGAGACTTTCTGTAGTTAAAGACAGTCATGCCTAATTGATCCTTCCCAACAGCTTCTCTGCTTGCAGCAGTAAGCCTTTTCATCCATGTGAATTTTGGCTGACTTTAGTACTCAGATATAGTTTAATCTATAGTTCCATGTTCTGTACCATGCAAAACACATTTTTGTCTGATATGTCAAACTCTTTGTCTTATTCTTCCAGTGGACCACCTAGCTCAGGCCTTGGATTCACTTTGCATGGACCTGAAAAGTGACGAGGGAAGATTGTTGTTCTTGGAGTATCAGGCTGTGCCAATTGTTGTACATCTCCTACATGTCACCAACAGAGGACTTGTTTCCGGTGTCCTTGATATTTTACTTCAACTTTCAATGGAGACCAGTAAGTACTAAGTTTATTAAGTAATTCAGGTTAATGCAGGACTCCAACCTGGCCAAATTTTCTTTTTTATTGGAAAGATACAGTATATTCTCGCTTTCTGTTTTGAGTATGCCTGTGTCCAGTTGATCTATTATCTCTTGTGTATAATCTTTTATATAAAATAAGAAAAGGTTAACCCTCCTAGTGTTGTGTTATTCCCCATATAATGCACATTATCGGCTGGAAAAGGATTTAAGACCTTAAAACATTGGGGTTGATTTACAAAAGTTAAATAGGCTGTGCACTGAAAGTGCAGTTGCTCTAGATCTGAGTGGCTCATGCAAGGAATAATGCATGCAATAAAAAAAACTGCATTTTTGCTTGCACATGATTGGATGAAAAAAAATCGGCAGATCTTTGCCTCATTTCAGAGCTTCCCCTCAGATCTAAAGCAAGTGCACTTGCAGTACACAGCCTATTTACCTTTAGTAAATCAACCCCTATATGTTGTTTTCTAAAAGCAAAGAATAAAAACATCATTGTTTAAATTTTTATGCAGCTGGATATTTGTGCAACTGGTTTTTAAATCTATATTTCCACTTAAAAAATACACTAAAATTAATTTTAGTGCATGCACAGTATATTCCTCATTTTTTGCAAAATGTAAAAGATAAGACTGTGTTGAGTAAACAATATTATGATAATCCAACAAGCAGTGCTTTGGAAACCTTAAGGGTCCATTCACACCAGCTATTACATTACAATGCACAGTGACATTTCATTACGTTCTGTTGGCTGTTGAACTGTTTAAAATCATTACCTGGTTAAAATGATATTGCTGAACATCCCACTGTATGAAATTGTTATACGCATCACAATAACCAACTCAACTGAAAATCCCGATGAACACAAAACCTTGTATATAAATCTCAAATTTCTTAGTCAATGTTCTAAAGTGTCAGCTTTTATCTCTTCAACATTTGCTTACTTTTTTCACAAGATGGCAGCATTGATGTCACTAATATCCTTAAGCAGAAACAGTGCTCTAGCAATTTTAGAACATTTCTATAATTCTTTTATCATTTTACTATCCCAGTTTGCTATCAGTACAGACTTAGGAGTCGTGTTCAGTAATTAAATAGCACAGATACTCTTTTCCACCTTTTCCTCAACAAGAAGTCTGTCAGTTGTGAAATAACTTGCAGGCCTCTAACCTTAGACCTTAACCACAAATCCCCACAAGGGACCTTGCTTTTTACTTTATTGCTTAGCAGGTTCCATATACAGTCTATCCACTTTTACAGTTTACTGAACCTTTTAAATCCAGGGTTTATGCCTCAGCCTTTGTTCACTATCTTTGTCTTCATTGTAATTCCTCACCACTGTGTGGCTGACAGGATGTTAATAAAGTGGATGTAGTTTATGTAGCCATAAAGAATGAGCTTTATAAATTCTAATTTAGTCTAAAGACAGAATGTCTTCGTCTAAATTCAGAAATAAATCTGGTCTCTTTTGATGTGCGGAGGGCAATAAGCCTGCACAGTGCCATCTTGCAGCTTACCCTTGATAGCTTTCACCAGCTGGAAATTAATAGTCATGTTATAGATTACGTGAAAACTGAACTCGGCATGACTTTCGTAATTGCAGATCATTACTTTGCTAAATTGTTTTTTCTTTTTATTCCTGTCCTCTGTGTGATCTGCTGCCAGTGAAAGCTAATATATTTTATATACAAGACATATTAGATGGGGGTAGTATAGAAAATACAGTTTATAAGAGAGTTTGTGAATAGATCACCTGCTAGTGATAGTAAATCCTTTTGTCCTTCTATAAAGGATATGTGCACTGTGGGTGGCTGTGTAGCTACATTAACTATTTAATGAAAACTGTTCCCAACTAGTAAAAAGGAATATATTATTTTAAAATGAAGCATTACTGAAAATTCAAAACAATAATTGCCAACATTAATCTTTTCACATCAGTGGAAGAGTAGCTGAGCATCTTTCTTGTACTTAACACCTGCATATACATACTATGTTGACGTCACCTAACTACACTCAGGCTCCATTCACACTTGGGCGTTTTTCAGCTTGACGCCTGACACTCAGAAATGCTCAACAAGCAAAATACAATTAATTTCTATGGCCCTTGTTCACATATGAGCGTTTCGTCGCCTATAGCAAAACGCCTGTCACTCAAAAAAGTACTTGCACTACTTTTCAGGCAGATCTGGGCATTTTGTCCCCATAGACTTGAATGGAAAAGCCTAAACAGAGGGAATGAGCGTTTTTCTAGTGTTTTTTTTTTTCCAGCGTGTTCAGCTCAAACAGTAGTTATTTCTATTGGCCACAGCAAAAACGCCTAAATGAAAAACGCCTGAAAAAAACACTTATAATATTTGCAAATCTGCTTAAAAAAATACTCAAATACGTCTGAAAAAAAACGCCTGAAAAACATTCAGCTCCGTGTGAATGGAGCCTAACTCACAAAATATGACTTTTCTAGCACTGTTAAAAACTCCGCTCATATGCCTTTACAGGAGCACACTTTATAAAAAATGTGCACAACCTTCTAAACTAGGGTGGCAGTAGTAGTAAGTATGTTTTTAAAAATTTTTTAGAACATTCCGCTTAATGTGGCTTAATTAGAAGAGCGGTAACTACATGATAGACAAATTGTAATTGAGCATACAAATAAACCACTGATAGGCAGTTTTATGTATATTGCAGGATTTTTGAAGCCATTCCTGGAGTCATGTAGCACAGAATCATTTTTTAGGACCTGTGCTGTGTTACTTAAGGATCCCAAAGTTGATGTGCAAATACTCGAAAAACTAAGTATTGTTCTACAAAAGCTTTCCAAAGTCAGGTAAGGCTCCACATAGTATATGTACAATATACATATGTAAAGCGCTGCGTAATTTGACGGCGCATATAATTATCTGTAATAAATAATATATGTTTCATTATTAAAGCAGAACACTCTCTCATTCAACATTGACTATTTTTAATCCTTATGCTGCTAGCATTAGTAAATCGATAGGAAGATATATTATATTTTACTTGTTTTAAACTTTTTTTTTTTTTTTTTTACACATTTCTTTAGTTACTTCCTGGTTTCTGGACTAGGCAAATGATGTCCCAGGAGTCTTCTGGGACATCATTGCCACCATTTTTGCTGAGGAATGTCGAATATAGACCTTTTGAAATCCCAATTCAACACCAAGCTGGACAGGATTATAGCCAGGATCATGAGTCTTCCTCGACTGCTTCACAGGTTCAAGATAGAGAACATTGATCATGCTGGCACTAATCTAGCCCAGAAGGACGTGGTACTGCAGACATTCTCCGTCTCCTGGGAGATGCTCCATGGGCACTATCAGACCATCGAGACCTGTTGTCTCAAAGGATTGGTCTACCATCGTGCTTCATGTCACTGACTTTGACAGCTTAGCTCTTGAAACCCAAGTCCTGAGAGATCAACGTCTCTCTAGCTTTGTTATTCCTATTCTGTTTATACCAGGAAATTGATCTATTTTTATCATTGCACTTGGAAATCTTACTTAGCATGGTGCAAGGCACATGTGAGACGTCACTTGGTGCCTTGAGCACCCTGAAGGAGTAAATCCATATTGGCAATTCTTTTCTGACACTGTTACATAGTTAGGTTAAAAAAAATTCGACAATCTCTTGGCCGACCTTACTTGTAAGGTATTGCTTCTTGAAGCTATTACATCAGTGAGACAAGTCTCGGATCTGGTGACCTTATCCTGTACAGAACTTTTCTTTCTTAAAATAAAAACAAGGTGGCTTGTGGCCTCGGGCTTTCTGTTTCCGTAAGGTGGTTTTCTCCTTCCACCTAAATCAGGGTATATGCCCTGCCTTCTCTTTGTTCTGCTCCTAAGCATGCCAAAGAGTTACAGTATCTTTACATTGTTTAGATATGGATCGCACAGTGCAAGTTTCTTTCTCAGCCATTGCTTCCATCCAAACATTGGATTCTCTGTTTGCCTTGCTTGCGAGTTCTCGCAAGTTTTGTCCTGCATCTCACTCCAGTATATCTAGGCTGTTTAAGCAGGTTATTGGTAAGGCTTCTCCTTGAAGGATAGTCCTTATCTTTCCATGTTGAGGTCCACTGACTTTATTCAGTCAGCAGTCAGTGCCTCTTGGGCCTTTCAGCACCAGATGTCTTTCTTTTTTTTTTTCTTGTTTTTCTCTCAGAAATGCAAGGTGCAACCTGATCTTCTGTTCACTTTTTTGACTTTATACTGGGTGGGTGGTCTGACCTTTGATGATACTGGTTTCAGCTGTAAGGTGCTTCAGACAGCTTATTGAATATCGCTGATTGAGTTAGGAGCATGATTCCCTCGTTTTTGTCCTGTTAGCATTGTTTTCTGTGTGGCCCTCTCATCATTTGTTTTGTTTCAGTATGTCCCATGGTCAAGATTTAAAGGAGCCTGTAGTGTATGATTAAGAAATAAGGGTTTTAGACTTCCATGTAAAATCCCTTTTGTGGAGCACAGTACAGGATCTAAACCAGGGCTTAAAATTTCGAGTCTAGACCTACTAGCCAGACACAAACCTTACTCTTCACCAGTTGCCCCACCCAACCTTGCCCAGGACCGCCTCCAACCCCACCCCCAGCCCTGCCCCCAAACACGTCCCCTTGAAGCTTATGAAATTACATTTTTCTTTAGAATAAAGAGTCCAAAATATAAAAAACTGCAATTATAACATAGCTTTATTATGTCAATTTAAACATAACGGCAATAGCTTAATAGCAATAGGGTGCAATCAAAATATCAAGTTTTACAGCTTTAAACCTGTAGTGAACATTTTGTATCTTTTTTGTTTATCTCTTGCATCTTTAATAAGAGACTTTTTAATATGACGATATGATTTTTGTTAGTGATCACATATTTTCAGTTATTATTGCAGTTTTTCCTTAAACTGATTTTTGTATAATACTTTTATATTTTTATTATTCATATATTAAAGTCCAGTCGTATTTTAGCAGAAAATTATACAAAGAAAATCAATGTGTTTTGGAACAGTAAATAACAAGTGTCTTACAGTTTATTTTGTAGCCCTATGCTCAGTGGTATACTGCAGTATACTAAGGCCACCGAGCTCTGTGTGAGGGCAGTGGTTTCTGTACAGTGATCCCCCAAGGTGGTGGAGAGCGGGCCTCTCCTTTTGTCCCCTGCGGCGGGGGAGAGCAGACCTCTCCTCGAGTCCCCCGTGGCGGTGGAGAGGGTGTCTCCATTTAGCGGAGGAGAACGGACCTCTCCTGCACCTGTCCCCTCAGCGGCGCTGCCAGTGTAATGGCAGTGCTGAAGAAGCCTGAAGTTTGAAACCGGAACTCTGCTTCACAATGAGGCTTGAAGTGCAGGTGCAGCCGCTCCATCTATCATCTATGCTCTCCACACAAGAATTTCTCCTCGTATTTGGCGACAGGGCAAGCGGCTTGTTCAAGCCCTGATCTAAACAACCCTCCCCTCCTGTCTTTCTAGATCATTTTCCTTTTATTTGAAGGTTGTTAGCTATGATTGGCATGTATTGGAATACATTTAGTTGTTGGTAAAATGTACATTTTGTTATTTCATGATTTTCAGGTTTGGTGCAGTATGTTTTGATCATAAACACAATAAGGTTCAGCCTAATTAATAAGATAGATCAGCGTTCAGTAGCTCATAATAAATTACATTTTTCCTTTTAGCAGTTAAGGTTAACACCACATAGAGCTGTCATGGGTCACTACACTTTACCTTGGGGGATTAATAACACTAGAATAGATTCTTTTAGTGCTTGTTTTATTAACCTTCATTAACATTTTCAATTTTAACTTACTTGAATAGCAAAATTCAGGTTAAAGGATAAGTTCACTTTTTGAAAAAAAAAAATAAAGGTAAAAAATATTAACATTTTTTTTTTCCCCTAAGGAGCCTGCAGAGCATTGCACCCGCAATCAGCAGATAACGGGCAATACCAGGCTCCTGCAGAGCATTGCACCCACAATCAGCAGATAACAGGGGCAATACCAGGCTCCTGCAGACTCTCAGGTCTGCCCATACTGGCATGCAGTTACTTGCAGGAAGGCCAATGAACTACAGCAGCGATCACCAGCGTCCTCGTACTTCATTGAGAACTACAAGCCATCAGCCACAATGGCTGACAGTACTTAGTCTATTCATTCACAGGAAACTGCTCTGTTTTCCAATTGTGACAACAGGTGCAGGGTGAAGATTCCCCATCAGACAAAGAGGGGCTGCATGCTGAACATGTTAGATATTACACCCTAAACTCGGGTGTAACCTATAATATGTTCAGGAACATGGAGTGAAATTAAGACATTGTTGGTTGTAAGAGGGGAGAAAGCAATAGGTGCCATCTCATGACAGCCATAAAGTAAAGTATGCCTAAACCCAATCATCAAAATGTCATATATGCTTTAACATATTAATATGATTTCAAAAATAGTTGTAAATCTGAAGCTTATTAAAATAATTTTCTGTTGATGTGCCATACATGTCCTTATCCAGGTACTTCCTTTTATGGGGTGACAGCTGTCATCTTATCACATGCATCCCTGGTAGAGACCACTAGCAGCCTTTCTAGTATACAGTACATTGCTCTGGTATGGCCCACCTTTTTCATTATCGGGGACGCTGTCCAGAGCATTGATGTGTAGCCACCTACCCCCTGCAGTAATAATAGGATTTTTTCCAGGGCCTTCCTGGCCTTCCCCAGCAGCCTCCTGGGAGACCCCGACACACATCCCAGGATGCTGCAGCAACCCTTTCACAGAGTAGCTAAGGGTGGAGCTTCCACATTATCAGGGTCTGAGCTGTCTAAACCTGGAAAAGACAACCTGCTGAAGAGAACCAAGGTGTGGGACAAAGACCGCAGAACAGTGGATCCACTAGGCTGGTGAGTTTGTACAGTGCCTTGAAAAAGTATCCATACCCTTTGAAATCTTCCACATTTTGTCATGTTACAGCCAAGAACATACATGAATTTTATTAGGATTTTTGGGGATTTTATGTGATAGACCAACACAAAGTGACACATAGCTGTGAATTGGAAGTCAAATGATAAATGGTTTTCAACATTTTATACAAATATGTGAAAAGTGTGGCGTACATTTGTATTCAGCCCCCCTGAGTCAATACTTTGTAGAACCACCTTTCACTGCAATTACAGCTGCAAGTCTTTTTGGGGAATGTCTCTACCAGCTTTGCACATCTAGAGAGTGATATTGTTGTCTGTTCTTCTTTGCAAAATAGCTCAAGCTCTGTCAGATTGGATGGAGAGTGTCTGTGAACAGCAATTTTCAAGTCTTGCCACAGATTCTCAATTGGACTTAGGTCTGGACTTTGACTGGGCCATTCTAGCACATGAATATGCTTTGATCTAAACCATTCCATTGTAGCTCTGGCTGTATGTTTAGGGTCATTGTCTTGCTGGAAGGTGAACCTCCGCCCCAGTCTCAACTCTTTTGCAGACTCTTTTGCAGATTCTCTTGCAGGTTTTCTTCTAAGATTGCCCTGTATTTGGCTCCATCCATTTCCCCTTTAACTCTGACCAGCTTCCCTGTCCCTGCTGAAGAAAAGCATCCCCACAACATGATGCTGCCACCACGTTTCACAGTGGGGATGGTATGTTCAGGGTGTTGTGCAGTGTTAGTTTTCCGCCACACATAGCGTTTTGCTTTTAGACCAAAAAGTTCAATTTTGGTCTCATCTGACCAGAGCACCTTCTTCCACATGTTTGATATGTCCCACACATGGCTTCTCGCAAACTGCAAACGGGACTTCTTATGGCTTTCTTTCAACAATGGCTTTCTTCTTGCCACTCTTCCATAAAGAACAGATTTGTGGAGTCCACGACTAATAGTTGTCTTTGGACAGATTCTCCCACCTGAGCTGTGGATATCTGCAGCTCCTCCAGAGTTACCATGGGCCTCTTGGCTACTTCTCTGATAAATGCTCTCCTTGTTCGGCCTGTCAGTTAAGGTGGAAGGCCATGTCTTGGTAGGTTTGCAGTTGTCCTATACTCTTTCCTTTTTTGGATGATGGATTGAACAGTGCTCTGTGAGATGTTCAAAGCTTGGGATATTTTTTTATACCTGGTTTGTTATCCGCGCCTATGGACTGATAATTACAGCAATGTAGCTGCCTACGTCTCCTCTTATATCCTCAGATGGATAAACATGACAAAATGACAAAGTTCAGTGTGGCACTACCAAGAGGTGCTATAAAACACCTTCCTCCCAGATATGTGCAACAGTTATAATACTATGTGTGCTTCCTCCTCAAATAAATCCAATAATGTGCTATTAAAAATACAACAAATTTAGAAACATGCTCCTGTGTGTATTTATGTAACAGTTATTTGTGACATCCTCAAAATACAATATGCAAAAAATTCAAAAAAGTGCTCTGATATTGCAAGCTGTGTACTGCGTGCTACAAGACACCTCCCACCACTGGAACACTGAATGCGATCTTGTGCAGTGTCTATACAATAACAAACATTTGTGACATTCTTCCACAAAGTGCTTAGTGCAGACCACTTAAAGTGCTCTTGATTTCAATGCAGTGCTACGCTTCTTCGTTTGACACTTGTGCTCCCCATCCCCGTTGGGTTCGCACTCACCAAAAATTTAGACTCCCTTTTTACAGGCAAGACATTTTACACTTTGTATAGCTTCCACCTTCAATTTCTCCGCACCTCCTCTTATTGAACCTCGTGTCTCCGAATCTCCTTCTCCTCCACTTCACAATTGATTGACCGAGAGAACCAAAAAGCAGAACTCCAATAGTGTAATACTGTTTATTAAAAACTTCACGTATATACAAACTGCACTTGCATAAAAGAAGTACAAAAAATGCTTTTCTCATGGTTCCGGGACGCTGCTACGTTCCACGGACGGGAAGTAGGTAACCGGAAGTGACGCAAAAGGCTCCGCCCAACTAGTTTAGTCAACGTAACGTTATTAGGAACGTGCCTTTGTACATCTTTTATGCAAGTGCAGTTTGTATATACGTGAAGATTTTAATACACACAATATTACACTGTTGGAGTTCTGCTTTTTGGTTCTCTCAGTCAGTCATTGGTGAAGTGGAGGAGAAGGAGATTCAGAGACACGAGGTTCAATAAGAGGAGGTGTGGAGAAATTGAAGGTTTAAGCTATACCAAGTGCATATGACTCGCCTGTAAAAAGGGAGTCTAAATTTTTGGTGAGTGCAGAGTCAATGGGGATGTGGAGCACAAGTGTCACACGAAAGAATGTAGCACTGCATTGAAATCAAGAGCACTTTACATGGACTGCATTAAAGCACTTTGTGGGAGGATGTCACAAATGTTTGTTATTGTATAGACTCTGCACAGGAACACATTCAGTGTTCCAGTGGGGGGGAGGTGTCTTGTAGTACACAGCTTCCAATATCAGAGCACTTTTTTGATTTTTAATATCACATTATTGGATTTATTTGAGGACGAAGCACATATAGTATGTAAGTGTCGCACATATAAGGGAGGAAGGTGTTTTATAGCACTATTTGGTAGCGCCACACTAAAAAGTTTGTAATTTTTTTATAACCTAATCCTGCTTTAAACTTCAGAACGTTATCCTTGACCTGTCTGGTGTGTTCCTTAGCTTTCATGATGCTGTTTGTACACTAATGTTCTCTTACAAACCTCTGAGGGCTTCACCGAACAATTCTATTTATACTGAGATTAAATTACACACAGGTGGACTAATTACCGGTAGGTGACTTCTGAAGGCAACTGGTTCCACTAGAATTTAGTTAGGGTTATCAGAGTAAAGGGGGGCTGAACACAAATGCATGCTACACTTTTCAGATATTTGTAAAAAAAATTTGAAAACCATTTAGCATTTTCCTTTCACTTCACAATTATGTGTCACTTTGTGTCGGTCTATTACATAAAATCCCAATAAAATACATTTACATTTTTGGTTGTAACATGAAAAAATGTGGAAAATTCCAATGGGAATGAATACTTTTTCAACTCGGCATAACAGGTAAGATGGGATGGGGGGGGGGAGATTCTGTTTAAGAAAAGAAACTACCCCTGTTTGTTACAGAAAGTAGATCGTTTTTACTTTAGCTCACAATCACTATACTGCTGACATTTCTTTCTTTCTTTTTTAGGAGTAATAAAAAGCTTTTTGATATGTTTAACATTCCTCAAGTGATCCAAGAAATGCAGAGGACAGCCAACCCAGACCATGCCTTTCTTGTTATTAATCTGAACTCTATTCTTTTCCACTTGGGTTTTGCTAGGGCCAAAATGCTTTCACCTAGTGTCAGCACTAACCATGACTAATGCAGCAATACCCTTTCTTTTTATTTGTGTTTACATTGTAGCATGGAAGTGCAATTTCAGTGATGTGAATTACTGTATGCTTGTCATTGTGGCTTTTTATAAAAGAACAAAACACTAAAGAGTTGGAACAAAGGTGAGGGTGTATAACAAAGAATTTGATTCCATGTATGATTCATTCAGTGCATGTTAGATACACCAGATCGGTTGCTATGACTAAAAGCTAAATTATCCTGTGTTTGTAACCTAGCTCTGTTTTGGGTATTTGTAAGATGTTGCATAGAAGGAATTGGTTCTGTTTCCCATGGGAATTCAGTCAACTTTTCTTTTACTTTATAGTATTTTATAGTGTAGTAGACATAGTGCCAAGACAGTTATTTCAGTGGCTGGTATAATGTTTGTTTGGACAGATGGAGAGTACAGATTGTGATCTCATCACTGCTGCTCCTTCACTGTCCATTCATCTGATGAGAGTAGGTAGCTGTACTGCATAACTGATATCCAGTTGTTGTGCTATTCATAAAAAAAATATACTAATATTGAGACACTTATAGTTTAAATGTGCACCTACCAATAATATTAAGTCAAAATGCATGAAACCCCAAACAATGAAAAAGTCTTTTGATGTACTGTATAACTAGAGTAGAGAAAAGTCAGGTCAGGTCAAGTTGACCATAGATGGATCAAAATTCGGCCAGTTCAGCAGAGAACAGACGAATTTCAATGTATGGGCAAGGAGGCTTTACAGAAGTCGATCTACCAATCAAATTCTGTACAACCACCATGTCAGACTTGACCCGCTCAATCAGAGCTTCAGGCCTGTAACGCTGATCAGTGTATTCTGATGGCAGGGACATTAACCCACTGGTGGGGAAAAAAAAAACAACATATCATCTATGGGCTGCCTTAGTCTTGTTGCCCCTATTGTGTCTCCCTGCTCCTCCGTATCCCATGGATGTGGAAGCATTGTTGAATCAGCTGATAATGATACCTTCACATTTTTACTATTTATTGCTTACATTCCCTCAGCACCTCTGAGAATTGCATGACACCGCCGGCCTAACCAGCTGTGCCCAAGGAATTCCCCCACCCCCTGCAGCCACATGTAACAAAGAGGTGGGCAGGGATGCTGGTGACACCATTGACTTAATATGGCCATATTTGGTCAATGGCATTTTCCTTATCCTAGCTCATCACTACTCAGCAACGTAAGCGTCAGATTACTATATAAAATGTGCCAGCTGTCCTACACATGTCCTGGAAACAACCCCCCAGTATTTCAGAGATTTGTTGTGGGTAGGGTTTTTAATGTGTAATAAAAAGGATAGATCTAAAGAGTTTATATTGTTGAAAACATTTTTAGAGTAAACAAGTCTCTTAAATGGTTTGAGTCATAAAGTGCATGTGTTCCTATAGTACACCAATTGGTCAAATTCATTTAGAGACATAAAATATGTAGCTCATTTCCAGAAATCTGACACCATCTCTCCTAATATTGGGCTGTTATAATGATTATAGGAGGTGGAGACATGGGGCAGTGACTTCACGATCTCTAGTTCATGCAATCAGAGAATGTTTTGTGTTCATTTGGAAAAAAATGCAAGGCATTCCCTGAATGTTGTCCATGCTGTTCCCTGTGCAGCACAGCACTGGAAGACAACAAAAATAACTGTCATAGCTGTGGCTACTAGAGTGATATTCTGCTTCCACAGGCATCTGCCAGGTATGAAATATGTACACTTATTTTGTATTCTACTACACAATGTAAGTGTACAATGCACACCATACCTAGAGTATGCTCAGCTTTAATGAAACTTCCTGGAAGCTCTCTATGAAGATGTGCACTGCATTATCAGACTGTTTATGTATATTTTATGGTGGGTCTTCACAGAGGAAGCTCTGCTGAGAAAGCTTGTGCACTTCATCTGTTGGTGAACAGATGCCATTTAGCTGGTTTGTATATTGAACCACAGACTAACTACCAAACTAATTTTTTTACAAAGCATATGAGCTCTGTTGTGCCCTAAAGTTTAAAGTCAACAAATTATCAAGCTCATCCTAGGTCAATTTTGGTTTAATGTGTGCATTTTCCCTCAAAGAGTACTGTAGTTTAGCTTTGCTGTTGGAACCATGTTTTGTTTTTTGTTCTTTGTGACAGTTGTGTGATATTTGCTTCAACAGGAGAAGGTGACTATCGGTACAATGGCAGTGATAACTGTATTGGTTGTACATTCATTCTCGCTCGTCTCAGGAGATGTAGACATTGCTGAAGATATATTTATAATATCCTATTTAATACTGATTTAGCAAATTCTGTGTTTAAATTCGGCATGTGAACATGATATCACTTTTGGAGGCTGTTCATGAATTCCTTCTCTGTCACTTTCACACCATTAACCTGTGCCGTATTTATAAGTTTTGACTTTTGAACATTGGGGAAGTCTTGGAGGATGACACAACCATTCCTGTGATGTACTTAATTGGTGATGCTCCGTGAAAGAACTGAAAAATATCAAAACATCCTTACTTCTGTAATTAATGGGCTGTTATTAACATATTGTGTGTACATTATTTATTTATTTATTTTTAGCAGTCTAAAATGTTTTACTTTGTTCCAGTGGTTCTATTATACATTCCATTGCTCCATTTACAAACTAGAATTTCTGTAAGTTAATGTTATGTTATTGTACAACATTTTAAGTAGTGCTTTAAAAGACCAACTGTAAAAAAATAAGACAGCAGCATATATGTTACAAATTATATATGTCTATAATAAAAAAAAGTTCAAACTTTCTCTACTTTTGTTATGACTAGTATGCGAAAAGACATCCACCATGATGATCAAATTTACAGTTTAAAGTACACTTTTACCTTAGACCGCAAATACATTCTTTAACAAGGTGGTGATGGTCATCGTGTTCGGTTTTTCCAGTTATAATAGTTTACAGTGCCTTGAAAAAGTATTCATACCCCTTGAAATTTTCCACATTTTGTCATGTTACAAACAAAAACGTAAATTTATTTTATTGGGATTTTATGTGCTAGTCTAACACAAAGTGGCAAATAATTGTGAAGTGGAAGGAAAATGCTAAATGGTTTTCAAATTTTTTTTTTACAAATATCTGAAAAGTGTGGCGTGCATTTGTATTCAGCCCCCTTTACTCTGATACCCCTAACTAAAATCTAGTGGAATCAATTGCCTTCAGAAGTCACCTAATTAGTAAATAGAGTCCACCTGTGTGTAGTTTAATCTCAGTATAAATACAACTGTTCAGTGAAGCCCTCAGAGGTTTGTTAGAGAACATTAGTGAACAAACAGCATCACAAAGGCCAAGGAACACACCAGACAAGTCAGGGATAAACTTGTGGAGAAGCTTAAAGCAGGGTTAGGCTATAAAAGAAATATCTCAAGCTTTGAACATCTCACGGATCACTGTTCAATCCATCATCCGAAAATGGAAAGAGTATGGCACAACTGCAAGCCTACCAAGACATGGCTGTCCACCTAAAACTGACAGGCCGGGCAAGCAGAGCATTAATCAGAGAAGCAGCCAAGAGGCCCATGGTAACTCTGGAAGAGCTGCAGAGATCCACAGCTCAGGTGGGAGAACAGACAACTATTAATCGCGCACTCCGCAAATTTGGCCTTTATGGAAGAGTTGCAAGAAGAAAGCCATTGTTGAAAAAAAGCCATAAGAAAACGGGATGTTTTCAGTTTTTGGGAGACACAGCAAATGTGGAAGAAGGTCAGATGAGAAACCAAAACTTTTTGGCCTAAAAGCAAAACGCTATGTATGGCGGATAAATAACACTGCACATCACCCTGAACACACCATCCCCACCGTGAAACGTAGTGGAAGAATCATGTTGTGGAGATGCTTTTCTTCAGCAGGAACAGGGAAGCTGGTCAGAGTTGATGGGAAGATGGATGGAGCCAAATACAGGGCAGTCTTAGAAGAAAAGCTGTTAGAGTCTGTAAAAGACTTGAGACTGGGGCGGAGGTTCACCTTCCAGCAGGATAACAACTCTAACATATAGCCAGAGCTACAATGAAATGGTTTAGATCAAAGCATATTCATGTGTTAGAATGGCCCAGTCAAAGTCCAGCCCTAAATGCAATTGAGAATCTGTGGCAAGACTTGAAAATTGCTGTTCACAGACGCTCTAAATCCAATCTGACAGAGCTTGAGCTATTTTGCAAAGAAGAATGGGCAAAAATGTCACTCTCTAGATGTGCAAAGCTGGTAGAGACATCCCCAAAAAGACTTGCAGCTGTAATTGCAGTGAAAGGTGGTTCTACAAAGTATAGACTCGGGGGCTGAATACAACTGTACGCCACACTTTTCAAATATTTATTGGTAAAACATTTTGGAAACCATTTATCATTTTCCTTCCACTTTACAATTATGTGTCACTTTGTGTTGGTCTATCACATAAAATCCCAATAAAATACATTTACGTTTTTGGTTGTAATCTGACAAAATGTGGAAAATTTCAAGGGGTATGAACACTTTTTCAACGCACTGTAAATGTTGGAATTAACTTTTTTTTTTTTTTTTTTTTTTAACTCCCTCACTGTCTGCATATTAACTTTCTAAACTACAGTGCCTTGTACAAAGACAACCTTAATCTATTTTTCATACAAACTGCTAGTTCTGAGACTGCTGTCAATGACTGTTGTCGATTTTACTCTAATGAGCTGGATCCATTCACTGTGGTTCTCTGTCATGAGATCACCGTGACCCCATGCAGTATTCGCATGCAGTTTGCTTACAAACAACCCTGCTGACTGCAACTGTCTCTGTGCCTTTCTGTGTGCACCTCTCTGTAAACAGCAAGTGCAGTGTCGGAGCTTAGCATCTATGCTTTCGCTGTTCAGCATGCCAATGAAGAGGTTTGGGATAGGTAAAAGTCAGTGAGTGGTGAATGGGGATATTCGATTAAGAGAATTTTTCACTTTGCTACGAATGGGCAAAGTGACAGATTCTAGTTATAAAAAAAAC